AAGTGTAAAACCATTTTGGGACAATCAAAATAGGAAATTTTGCAAATCAAATTGGGGCGGAAGGAGTATCATTTATCCTCATGGATGGGGTGTCATCCTTTTCTGTTAATATCATTTGGTCCAAAAGGTGGAATCTTCCACCCTAGCCGGAGCCCTCACCCCGACCTGACAGGATGGTGGGGATGTTAATCATGGTGACCCAGTCATCAAAGCGGCGGTAGGCCTTATACACGTGTGCACCAGAGGTCTAGCCTTATTTCAGGTTCTGTAACCTCCACATGGCCGCTGCGGGTTTCGAACCTTGGTCACTTGATCCAATTTTCCCACCACTCGACCAACTGAGCTACCCGTATTTCTTGTTAATATCATTAATAATAAGAATAAGATTATAAAAATCAGGAAACCTGATTTTTTTTCCAGTTTTTTCCCTAGCAGTTTGAAAATTGAAAGTATGAAAATATTTAGAGTCCGTTCTGTAATATCAAAATCGGTTGATTCCGTTGAAATATATGAAACTTTGGCTGAATTAGTTGTTTTATGAAAAAATTGTATTTAAAATATATTTTACTAATAAAATAAAGGAAAAATTATATGTGAAATAGTTAAAATGATCATTTACGGTAACTTCAATCTTACTTTTTTTATTATTATACAATTTATCGTTCGAAATACAAAAATACGTATTCGATAAAAATGTTGGCTAATAAACATGATAAGTCGAAAAACATGTTACCAAACGACTCTTAAATTTCATGACTTTTTATATCATTTCCTACTCCAACTGTGTATTCGGGATATTTAATACTTCGTGTATGTAAATATGTTTGAGTAGTTGTTATACCGTATGACCGGTATAGGGTGAACACCGAGTATTATTTTTTACTTCTTTTTTTTAAATGGTAATAACCTTTTTATTTTTGATCCGATTTTTATAAAATTTATATTAACATTTTTTATTTTTCATGATCTATCTTTCAAATGAGACCAATATTGCCTATGTAATTTTAACATATTATCGAACTATTATATTAATCTATGTAAAATATGTAATTTTACGTGTAGAAATATGTAACTCACGTCCAGTCTGGCCAAATGCAACGCATGCGTATAAATATGTAACCCTCTCTACGTGTAATAATATGTAACTTTACGTGTAAAAATATGTAACTCGCGTTCAGACAGGTCAAATACAACTCGTGTGTATAAATATGTAACTCGAGTGTATAAATATGTAACTTTACGTGTAAAAATATGTAACTTTACGTGTAAAAATATGCAACTCGCGTTCAGACAGGCCAAATGCAACTCGTGTGTATAAATATGTAACTTTACGTGTATAAATATGTAACTTTACGTATAAAAATATGTAACTTACATGTATAAATACATAATAAAATAAATTTTTTATGTACACAATTTTAAGATAAATTGTGATTTACACAATTATTTTTCTGTATTAGATTTAGTTCGATTTTCCTTATAATCCAATACTCATTAATATAATAGTTCGATAATTTCTTAAAATTACATAAGCAATATTGGTCTCATTTGAAAGATCATGAAAAATAAAAATGTTGATATAAATTTTATAAAAATCGGATCAAAAATAAAAAAGTTATTACCATTTTTTAAAAACAAACGGAAAAAATAATAAAGAAGCCCGTATACCGGTATACGGTGCTCACCCTATACCGATCATACGTATAATTTACCATGTTTGAGTGTTTGACATGTGTATATAGTAGGAAAAAATGTTTGATTTTTTAGTTATTACTACTACGTACAGCAGTTCTTAGTAAGTAAAATTATTAGTAAATGAAATTATTAGTAAGTGAAATTATTAAATGGAAATGTAACTCTTGGGTAAAAGCTGACTGTAGGCTAAAAGCAGAAATCTTTTTCTCCAATTTATAATACTCCATGTGAACAATTTTTTATGCGGAGTATATTTCTTCTAGAAAGTAATGTAACAAGGCTATGTTTTACCGACATTACAACTCATTTTGAACATAGATTTAGGCAATTATTATTGATTTGATTTGAGATATTATTATTTTCAATGCTTCAGTTCAGTCCTTTAATATATATATATATATGTATGTTATGTATATGAGAGTTTTTTTAATCTAAACTTTATCTTCTTTTGCCAAAATATTTATTTCTGAGACGTTTTTAGTCGCTATTTCAAATGTGTGTCAAACAAATCTATTTCATTAAAGATGAAAATTTCAATTCAAGTAATTTTTACCTAACTACAAATATACGTAGTAATATATAACTCAATAGTTTCCCTTTCAATTCATTCTTCCAAACATTGCTCAGTGAACATTAGGAATATTTAGAATCTTTTTAAATGAAAATGGAAAGATAGAAATAGAAGTAAATAATGTCTGTCGAATACTCCACAATCGATAATAAATACTCGTACATAATAAGTATCTAAATTTAGAATGATATATGAATTACTCTCCCAAACTACTAAAATAGAAACCACTGTAGTATAACACTCATTAAGAAAAAAATATGTGAAATCAGAAGAGACTAGGTAATTATACTGGAAATATTCAACAATCAATATTTAATCAAGCAATTAGAGAGATAATTGATTTTTTTTTTACCCAAAAGAGGAATTTAATAGAAAATTGAGAAATATTTAAATTTAGGATCTTGGCACGGAAATGTCAAAGCAACTTCGTATACACGCTGAAAGCGTATACGCATTTAAGATTTTGTTTGTATACATATTATTTTTTTCATTTTAAGGTGCATTATCTGCGACACAAAACAATTCATTTTAAAACTCAAAAAAATGTCTGTAAATAAACGAAACAAATTGTGTAAATGGAGTGTGCACCTTTTGAGTTTGGACTTGCTTTGTCCCTCAAAATTATGCTAACTTATTTGTTTTGTTTTACTTTGTTACTTTCTTTTTTTAAAAGGAGAACTATCAAATAGACTCTCGAACTTTCATAAAAAGTGCAAATAAACCCTTTTACATGAGGTTTTGTTCGGCTGTCGTCATTTAGGTAGGTTTACGGTAGAATTTTTGATGAAATTTTTTGAACATCTTCTTCATTAAGTCTAGTTTACTCATACCAAATTTGAGCTAAAAATTCAATCCAGAAGGCTGTCAAATGATCTTCTGAAATATATTGCGCCGCGTAACTACACAGTTATCTTCAAAAATTCATTTGACTGTCTTCCTGATTGAATTTTTAGCTGAAATTTGGTATGAGTAAACTAGACTTAATGAAGAAGATGCTCAAAAATTTCATCAAAAAATTCCACCGGAAACCGCGCCAAATGGCGACCGCCGGACAGAGCCTCTGATAAAAGGCCTTATTTGCACTTTTTATGAAAGTTCGAGAGCTTATTTGGTAGTTCTCTCTTTTTTAAGTAAAGAAATTGTGCTTCTAGTAAATTATCTTTTTTCCAAACAAATTTCAATCATATAACTTTTTACTCCACTATATTAATTTCTATGTCGATCAAATTTGACAAAGTTTTGAACGACGAAAACATTATATAAAAGAATTTTTTCTAGAAAATATTTACCAAAAAAGAAAACAAAATAACCGTGGTGTCTTACTTTCTTTCCCACTAGGAAGACTAAGAGCCAGTTTACTAACAAGGATATTTTCCAGTTTTTCAGAAAACTGGAAAAATGGAAAATGGAAAACCGAAAACCTTTTAACCAAAAAAAATTGCTAGAAAACCGGAGAAAAGAAAACATAAAATTGTGTTTACCAAATCATTTTCCAAAACCAAAAAATGAGATATGTCTCTGTTTTCCTTAATGAATTGGAGAAGTGACTTTTACTAGTTTTCCAAATTTGGAAAACGCGGATGTTGAAGTGCCGCTGCAATGAATTTGCATACTTACGCCAAGTGTTGGATCCGATCGCGCTCCGGTGTCAATTCCCATCTGATCCAGTCAATAACCCGATGGTTCTTATCTGATCCAGTCAATGACCCAACGGTCCGGTCCGGTCATGCCGGTTAATGGTCGAGCAATCCTTGTCTAGTCTGGTTGACGACCTGACGGTCCCGATCCGGTTGAAGATCCAATGGTCCATGTTCGCTCTGGACCTTAACTCGCTGGTCTCCGTCTGGATCGGTCCACGACCCCACGGTCCTTGTTCGGTTCATTCCACGACTCAGTGATCCCTGTTCGGTCCGGTCGATGACCCGACAGTCCTTGTCCAGTTTGATTCTTGACCAGACGGTACTTGTTCGGTCCGATCGACAGCCAAACAATCTCGATCTGATCCGGTTTGGTCAATGACTCGGCGGTCCCCGTCTGGTCCAGTCAATGACCCGATGGTCCTCGTCCTGTCCGATCAACCACCCGGTTATCCCCGTCCTGTCCGGTCAATAAACCAGCAATCCCCATCTTTTATGACAAATGATCTGACGGTCTGTGTTTGGTTCGAACGACAACCGGGTGGTCATGAGCCAGTCTTGTAAATGACCCGGCGGTCCCTGTCTGGGCCGGTCAATGACCCGACGCTTCAGTCTCGGTTTTTTGAAATCATTTTTTAAAGTGAAGAGTTTTAAAAGAGCCGTTGAGTTGTCAACCAATAGGGAAATGAGAAAAGAATTCATCAAACTAACTGTTGAGATCTACCGAGACCGGTCAATTTCGTTCCAGACCGAGATCATACTTTCGGTGTTTTGGTCGGTCAAAGAACCAAGTGAAAAAATGATATGAACATGTTTTCGGATTTCAAAATGAAAAACTAAAAAATGAAAACAAAAAATTAGAGATAGAAAAAATGAAAAATGAAAACAGAAATATCTTTATTAGTAAACATGTACTACCTCACTTCATTCTGGAAGCTTTCTTTTCTATTCTCTTAGCTACTTGACATGAATCTTTTACATCCTCCCAACGTACCGTCCGATCGAAGTTGTGAGTCTGACGATGGGATGGGGTATCATCCTTTTTTCTATTCTCTTCCCTTCCCTTCTCTTCCCTCTTCACCACGTGGCCGCACATCCTTTTGTAACGCCCGTCACACCACCCCTCCACCCTCGGTTAACGGTGTTACCTATTCTTAGACATAAACCCCACCGTCCTCTGCTGCATCCTTATCTCAGCACAGAAGTCCTCTTCCCGCTCGTGAATGAGGGCTATCTGTGCTTCTCTTCACCTTTGCTTATCTCCTTAACGTGCGTGCATATTCCGTGCGAATTGGTTGCTGCGTTTTTCTTAAGCTATGGCTTCTTCTTTCAGATTCCGTAAGCTCTATGACCTCCTGTGTCTTCTTGAGCTCGTGAAGGGTCCGTTTGGGAAGAAAAAATGGGGTGATGGGAAGAAGCAAGAAAATCCCATTTCCTCTTCTTTTGCTGAGGCTGCTGAGGTTAGGAATGAGAAAAAGGTCCGGGCTAAGAATGAGTGGAAATGCGTAGATAGATGTCTATGGATGACTGGGTGTATCTGGGTAACATGGTGGTTCTTTTTATTTGTCATCAATCTTTTGCCCACCCAATTGGCGACTGAATCACCCGGAGCCCTTCTCAAGCGTGACGGTTTGACCGCCTTCCACCCGGTGGTTTTGGTCCCAGGCATTGTTACCGGCGGCTTGGAGCTCTGGGAGGGAAGGCCCTGTGCCGAGGACCTTTTCCGGAAGCGCCTTTGGGGAGGTACCTTTGCTGAGATGTTCAAGAGGTCTGTTTCTTTTCCCTTATTATTTGAAGAATTCGAAAAAGATTGGATTTTTATGTTTTTCTTGTAATGGGGATTTCAGGCCATTGTGTTGGTTGGAGCACATGTGCCTGGACAATGAAACAGGACTTGACCCGCCGGGAATTCGGGTTCGGGCGATCCAAGGGCTGGTGGCGGCTGATTATTTTGCTCCGGGATACTTTGTTTGGGCGGTGCTTATTGAGAATTTGGCAAAGATTGGGTATGAGCAGAAGAACATGTATATGGCTGCTTATGACTGGAGGCTCTCTTTCCAAAACACTGAGGTTTCACCCAGCTGCTGTTTTTTAAATTATTAATGCATATTATACCTATTACCATTAATTAATTAATTCTCTCCCAATTAATGCATTATTTTCCGTAAATGAACCCAAAACCAGCTGCTCCATTACAAATTTGCTACTTTGCAAGCACATTTAAAATTGATTAATTTTTATGACTATCCTAATGCGTGTGTGTGAAGAATAATTCTTTCATACGGAGTATTAAATTTAATTATTAAAATAATTTACAGTTAGATTTTCTTTTTACCAAACTTTGAAGGCATGAAGGGTGGGCCCAAAGATGACCAAAGATTGACTAAAGAACTGGTTCTTATTTACTCCCTCAATCTCAATTTCTTTTTCAAAATTTCTTTTTTTGATAGTCCCAAAATGATTTGTCACTTTCCATTTTAAGTATCATTAAAGTGACAAGTTTACCCCTCCTCCTTACCCTTCTAATCTTCCGCCCCAGCCATACATTTTAACCAACATTACCCGCACGGGTAGCTTAGTTGGTTGAACGGTGAGAAATTTGGATATGGAGACCAAGTTTTGAATCCTGCATAGACCGTGCGGAGTTTATTACCTCTAAAATGGGCTGGACCTCCGGACTGAGCCAGCTCACATTTTCTTACCCACCTAATTCTTATCCTATCACCCATCACTTTCATCTACAGACTATCACTCCCACCTTCTTGGGCTTCTCTCCCCCATTTTTCCATTCGAAGCAACTGTCATCTGTGTCATTGGAGTCTCACACTCACGGGCTTGGTCCATCAACTCCGGTCTGCTCCATAGTCACCGCCTGAAAAGTCCTTAGATAGTTAAATCCACACGCTTTTGTTGACCCAGTTCATCGCAGATGAGTCGCCTGGGCCCCCAGACAACTCTTACACAAGTGGAGGACGAAGGTAATTGAATCAGGCCGAACTAGATAAGTCTCCGCCGCGCCGCTGCCTTCCGACAACCTCACAGATGAGTCTCCACCGTCCTCGTTGAAGCATATACTTGCGCCACAAGACGAACCATTGAAGTGGCGGATGATGGTCATTCCCTTGGAGGCTTCATGTATCTGTAGGGTATGGTGGAGAGGCTGATGTCGGGTAGAAACCAGACGCCCTCCATCGGCTCTGGCCCTTCATGTAGAAGACGAATGCACAGTATGTCAGTATACACAAAAACCCACACACATTTTGCAGAAAAGAGTAAATGTTTCTGTTGGATACTTATTCCGCAGTCTCCTTAAATATGGAAAAGAAACCAGGAGTTCAATGAGTACGGTTTGCTACTTTTGACTAGGACATTTGAAACATTGTTTGATTGTTATGGTATTTATTACTCCGTATCTATTTAAGAATACTATCTTTGTCAGAAAACCTGCACATCATGAAGTTCAATAAATGTACTATATGATCAATACATTTCATGGAAGAACAGTTTAAATATTTCATGAAAACAAAAAAACAAAACGGGGTTTAGGTCAATCTAATGCCCTTCTGGTTGAAATTAAACAGGTGAGAGACCAATCTCTTAGCAGATTAAAGAGTATAATAGAACTTATGTATGCAACAAATGGAAACAGAAAAGTGGTGGTGGTGCCTCATTCCATGGGATCACTCTATTTTCTTCACTTTCTTAAATGGGTCGAATCGCCTCCTCCTATGGGAGGCGGTGGGGGTCCCACTTGGTGTGCGAAGCACATCAAAGCAATCATGAACATCGGCCCGACATTCCTCGGCGTTCCAAGGGCATTTAGCAGCTTGTTATCAGCTGAAGGGAAATTCATTTCACTTCTGAGGTCAGTCCATTCATTTCCTTACATTTCAAAGGGCTATTGATTATTTGTCTCACTTATTAGTTTCCTATATACAGATCATTCGCTCCTAATCTACTTGATGAGACGTTTCGGTTTCAAACAATGAAACAAGCCTTGAGGGTTTGCCGAACATGGGACTCGATCGTTTCCTTGTTACCTAAAGGAGGAGAGACCATTTGGGGTAACTCGGATTGGTCGCCTGAGGAAGAATACAAATGTACAGCAACAAAAAAACAATTGAGTTCTTTTTCAAGTAGCAATAACAAAACTAAATATGGAAGAGTTATTTCATTTTTGAATGGAGCGTCCGAATCACCCTCTTCACAATTGGCAGATTTTGATATAATGGTATGTAATATGTATGTTGCTCTTTCATCTTTTTCTTGTAAAACAATTTTAGAATTTGGAATAATCACAATATACGTACAACTAAAATAAAAATAGACCAAATTGTGACTTAATCCATGTAGTAATGATGATGTTATTTTCGCAGTGACCGTATTGACCATGATGATATTTCATTTTACTATATTTGAAGTCATAATGATATACTCTGTACTTTGCAGTTACTGTAGTTACCATTTAGCCAAAATTTTAGTTACTTTTTTTGACTGTAACTTTTATATTGCCTTAAAATAAAACATTAGGAAAATTTCTTAGTGCCTTAGTTGAGCTTTCAAATCACTTTCAAGTTAGCAAGTGAATAAATGATCATGAAACATTCTCATTTGGAACAGCTACTTTGGGATTATATTATTATCTTACTCTGTAAATGATTGTCATTCCGCAAAGCAAAAATAGCTTAATTACTATGAGCATTTTCTCTAACCGATAGGGGCTGATTTTGTCAACAGGAAGATGTACATCAAAGTGTGCTGAACAAAACATCATGTGGAGGGGTATGGACAGAATATAATCACATCAGCAAAGAAAGCATCCATAAAGTTGTTGAAAACAAAGCATATACAGCAAAAACAGCAATTGATCTTCTTCGGTTTGTGGCACCTAAAATGATGAAGCGCGCCGAGTCACATTTCTCCCATGGATTAGCGAACAACCTTGATGACCCAAAGTATGATCATTACAAGTACTGGTCAAATCCACTTGAAACCAAGTAAGTGTAATTATTTTCATGATTTATGAATGTTATAGTAGCTTTAAGATTTTAGTTGAGACAGATTATGTTAACTTTTTCATACCAACCGAGCACAAATATACAAACTCATGTATAAGACATTCGACTACTCTATCTGAGTAACCCCGTGCTGGCCGGTATAATAATATGAACTAACATACAACACCTTCAACTACTACCCATGTCTTAGCGTTTTAAGACCGACTCCAAGTCTGAATTGATTACATTGTTTTTAATGTAGTTAAGTGGCTGCAATTAATACATTTTTCAGGCTACCCATTGCACCAGATATGGAGATATACTGCTTATATGGAGTTGGAATTCTCACTGAGAGATCATACATGTACAAGCTCTCCCCTACAAACACATGCAATAGCATTCCCTTCCACATTGACAGTTCTGTAGATGGGAGTGGCAACAGCGGATGTCTAAGAGGTGGAGTGCATTTTGTAGATGGCGACGGAAGCGTTCCAATTCTAAGCTCAGGCTTCATGTGTGCCAAACCATGGCGTGGGAAGACGCGGTTCAACCCATCGGGTAGTCGTACATACATAAGGGAGTACCAACACGAACCACCGTCTAGTCTTCTCGAAGGGAGGGGTACAAAGAGCGGGGCTCATGTTGATATAATGGGAAATGTTGCACTGATTGAGGATGTATTGCGCATTGCTGGTGGGGTTTCCGGGGAAGAGTTGGGTGGAGATAGAGTTCATTCTGACCTCATGAAAATGTCAGAGGGGATAAATATACAGTTAGATATGTAGTTGTAGCATTACAGTGTGCAGAGTGCAAGAAAGTTAATTAGGGAACTAATTTGAGTAGAGGAATGCAGGTTGGAGTGCCTCAGATATAGGGTAATAATGTCCTGTTGTGTATAACAAAGTGGAGAAATCTTCTTCAGTGAAAAGCTTTAACATATGAGCTCTATTTAATAAAAAAAGAGATGACACCCCGTCCTTGAGGGCCCCCAAGCACCGCCCGGACTAGTCGGATGTAAATTAGAGTTAATCACAACTTGTCAGTAGTTTAACCATCTTATTACTAATCTTGCTGGAGAGGCCCCTTAACTGGAAAGCTCTAAGATCACTTTGACGGAGAGAGGGAGATCATTTGCAAATGAAATCTGGTAGGATTCATAATGAACTACTTTTCCATTTCAGGTGAGGGTTAGAAACTTTAGGTTGAATGAGTTATTTGATTTAATAGAATGTAGTTTGACGAATATGTTTATGACCTATGGAGTTGTCCCATCTCAATTTTGCATTTAGAGATTGCAATTTCCGACTCCCTAAAAACTTCATGCTTTTCTAAGTCGTCTTTTATTGTTTCACAAATAAATTTCTATTACGTATCATTTGCAATTATGAAAGTGTTAGTGAACAGACATTTATTTCGACTTCAGAAAACCCAAGCAGAGATGTGTAAATTGGAGTATTTAAACAATTTGATTCGCGGCAACAAATTACTCCTACACCGCCGCTCGGGACGATGTGAAGCGATAATTGCATGAACACTCGAACGAGCACATTTACTTTTTAATGACTTGAACTCAAGACGTCTCACAAGGGAGTGAATCACATTAAAGTGTGCAACCTGGACCACTCATTGTCATCATTATATATGCTATGGAACAATTACATTAAAGCAGTGATAATTGTAAAAGAAAGTGAAAAGCAAATCATACGGAGTAATAGAAGATGGAACTTTTCAAGTTATAGTTTAATGCTACAATCTCGCTTAATATACAAATTTCGTATATTAACCCTTTGTAATTTTAAAAGTGCATCAAATCCTCTGAATTTTAATCATGTAGATAATCCAAAAGACAAATGATTAGTACTTTTATGAAGAGTATAATTTAAATACTTTGACAAATATAATTGGGTGCTAAATTTGTTATTTCACAACTTTATGTGCATAAATAAACACTTCGTGTAATATATATGAGTTTGATGCATTTTATAAATCACATATATTAATGCATAAAATTACTTCGCATATTAAAATAGAGTTAGACACATTAAACCCTCCAAACTAAAAAGGCAACTATATTAAGTGACAACAAGATCTAGGATGAGTATATATCAGTATATGTATTTACTATCTTAAATATGCATAAGAGGGTAACCTGACATTTAATTCAAGTGCCCGTTTGGTGATCCTATTTTTCGATTTATCAGGTATATCAATCAATTTTTTTGCTAAACACATAACTTTTGATTTCGCGCACTGAATTGTGTAATAATCAGAAAAAGTAAGATAAGAGTTACTTTTATGACTGCATTGACTGAGTTTACTATAAAAGATCATTTTAGCTAATATTTTAAAGGGTTAATGTTTGCAAATTGTGTGGGTGTAATCATGAACGGAAAGATGAATTTGAGGACATTTTTGGATGTGATTTTATTTGAATGTGCGAGGAGGGAAAGGGAAAAGAGCGATGGATTACACCCTGGCCGCGCTGAAGCTTCTATGCTCACACCTCAACACCGCCACAGAGACAACAACTTCTCACTCTCAGCTAGCCTTTTCTCTCGGCGGTATTCTCTTCCAGCGCGCCTGGATTCAGGTTTCTTTCTCTTTCTATCTCTCTACCTGCCTGTCTGTATCTATTGTATGTATGAGCTTCCTAATCGCACCGTAGGGGGTTTTGGTCTCAACACCGGCGTCTTCTGACAATGACGCCGGTCACTTCGTCCTAGACGATGGCACCGGAGTTATCCAACTCGTGCTCTCCAACGACTTCCTCCAATATGATGCCTGGGAATTAGGTATATGCATTTTTTTGTTTTGCGATTATAGAAAATAAAACCAATAGTTTCTTAATCAGTATATGTACTTGTGTTTTCCTGTAGGTATGTATGTAATGGTTGTTGGAGGATATTCTGTTCGGAAAGATGGAACTCATTTTATCAAGGTTAGCAATTAGGAAAATAGCTTGTTTAGAGATTTTATTTGTTTAGTGGTTGATTCTGATTTGAATTATCAGCTTAATTACTAGCAACATATTATTAATTTTTTTTTTTGTGGGGCTTGGGGTAGACATGTGGAATTTGTTGTTTTGGACTTTAAGCCAGAGCTGCCAGTGGTTGTGTGGCTTGCAAAACTTGTTTGCAGCAGAATTAAAAAAGGCACCTATTATAGTTTAGTTACAAATTTCATCATTTATTGGGGCTGTTCATAATTCTGATTTCTGGAAATGATTTGATTATCTAATGGCCTGTCCCTATAGGAGTGTTTTAGCAGGAAAGGTTTCCCGATTAATTAGTTTATTATCTTCATATATATAGTTCACATTATCTCGATGATTCAACATTTCTATCACTTTTAGTTGTTGTCAGAAATACTCAATTCTTCAAGATGAGACTAAACCCTCCAAAGCCTTCATTGTCCAAGCCCCTCCAAAAGCCCTCAATCCAAACAGGCCATAGTTAACCTGAAATTCTAAACCTTAGGCTATAGCCTACATCGCATTGTGATATGAATTCAAGAAAAATAGGTTAGAGAAGAGATTTATCAGTGATGATCTCAGACCAAATGTGCGCTACATTCTCATACAACGTAGTAACACACAGTATATGCGGCATAGTGTGTGGAAAGGAAAACAATATATGGTGCATATTAAGAATGATACCTCCCCTCCTAAGATGACAATATATGGTGGAAGAGGTTTAACTTTTTTAATATACCCGTATTCTATTATGAAGAGTTAAACATTTGAAAAGCCCTACTACATCTTCAACTACATGATGTATTATATGTAATTGTGGCATACTATTAGCTTAGCTTAATTAGGTGCTGAGAGTATTATTTTTTCAGGTACACAAAATTGTTGACCTTTCACCAGTGCCGGATCGAGAGGCAATGTGGTATCTAGAAGTTGTGGAAGCGTTCAAACTTTTCTATCTGCCTCTTTTAGATTATTGTTCTGATTGAATATGCCACATCTTAAAACTGATCATTTAAGGATCAATGTGTAATTAGTGTTGCTTCTGCATTTAACTCTCATGATTTCATTCTTCTACCAGAGGACCTGTCTTAATGCTTAGACATTATTAAATTATGATTATTATTTAACCAATAGTAGTGGTACCTCACAATTCTCACCATCCGGTGCTGAATAGGGTGGAACCACAAACCAGTTCTGAAACCTGACCGGAACCGGGCGTGATTTAGAACTGGACCAGTTACCTGATTTTTAGTTAGGGACAGTAACTGGTATCCCAAACCTGTCCAAACTGGTTTTCGTTCTGCCAAAATAGGATTTCAACGTGCTTGTCTAGTTCCAGTATTTTTTTGTTGTTGTAAAAATAGGCTAAACATTCGAAACTGGATCAAGTTTCCTTCAATAAAGTTTTAGCCTCCATTACGAACAACCGACTCGGATCCACCTCTAATGTCGCACTAAGGAAGGCCTAGAGATTTTTGCATGGACACTGAAAAGAATGCTCTAGTGTTACGGTTGATTTGAACCATTGAATTAAGCTGCAGAAAACAAATGGAAGAAGTTGGTACAAATGCCCCTGCCGCTCATAATCAAGTGATCGAGTATAAATTTGAACCCACTTGCTTCTATGACCCATCAGTTACGTCTCTAGTTCTTCCACATTACTCCTGGTGATGAGACGTAGGGGTGGACTCGGGCCGGGCCAAACGGCCCAGAACCGGACCGGCCTGCTACTGTGCGGGCCCGGACCGGCCCAGTGAACCGGTTGGTGACCGGTTCGGGCCACCCGGCCCGGTGAGGTAGGCGGGCCGGGCCCGGGCCTGCTAAATAGTGAACCGGCCCGGCCGGTTCGGGCCCGGTCCGGGCCTATTTTTTTTTTTTTGATTTTTTTTTTAAGTTTTTGGGTTGGGCTGGGTATGATGGGTCATTTGAGGTGGTTTGGGGTGGTTTGGGGGTGAGGGGGGAGAGTTGGGGGTTAATTAGGAAAAACCAAAAAAAAAAATTGAACCGAGGCCTGGACCGGACCCGGAGTTACCCGGGCCGGTTCCGGGCCTCCCCTTTCATGAACCGAGGCCCGGCCAGGCTCGGGCCCGAACCGGAACCGGTCCATCCCTAATGAGACGTAAATGAGACAAAGATTTGGATTTCAGTGGTCAATAGTCAAAAGAAAGACCAGAATTGACATGTTAATAAAAACAGACCCTCTCTACTGCTTCACACCTACTACATAAGGTTTGGACATTGTCTTGATCATGGACTAGAACCCGGCCAAGCTTAGCATTTGTTTGGAGCCGAGATTAAATCAGTTTATGCCTTTATGGTTCTAATTTCTAAACCGGAATTGTTACCGAAAATCAATTAAAACCCCAATCCTCCAAAGTAGGACCAACTTGGTGGGCTCTGCTAGCGTTATTAAAGCTTTAAAACTGAGCAAGATCTGAAATGAAACTAATATGGGACCGGGGGTTCTACCAGATGCAAAATTCAACCCATCATCTATGTTGCACGGAAACATGGGAAAATGGGGAAACATGAAACAACGTGAATAGAAAAATAATTGTTTCGAGAGTTTCCGAAAGGAAAACGACTCTTTCCCAAGAATTTCAGTGCTTTAGATAGATATTATTGCTCTGTAGTTGTACTTCGAAGGACTCATAACCATACCGGACCCACCCCTATGTAAGAGTTTAGTGAGAGTGCCTGAATTCCCACCGAGGGGTCAAAACACTAGAGCATGTAGAATAATGAGCTGACACTACTGCAATTGTGTGCATTTTTAGTTTTATGTGCCTGGTTAATACACATAATAATACAATCATACAATACACTAAACACATTCAACAATCATACAATACGCCAAGGTAAGAGGATTGCCAATAGGGATGTGGAAAACCAAATGAAATCCAATAAGATTCAAGGTCCATGCATAGCTTCAACACTCCCACAAGATACAAACACCCTGGGTTCGAAAGTCAGAATATAAAAAGTACAGTGTTATAGATTAATAGATTAACACCATTACATGATTAAGTATTCTTAATTTCTTCAAATGAACAATTCGCTGAGCAGCATGCCATCTCAGTGTTGAATTCAAACACTATTGCCATTAAACTTATCTGGAAGTGCACCTTCTATAACCATGCACGAAAATATGAACTCTGAAGATAATACAGTATCAAGAAAAGCATATAGGGCCTGTTTGGGGGGGGGGGGGGGGGGGGGTTATTTGTCCAAAATTGCTGAGCCTTCTAGGACTTTCGGAAAAGAAAATCGTTTGCTAACATCCCCTGCAGCCAAATAAGTAAAAAGAACTACTTAAGAAAATCGTCTCGTTCACCATTTCCATCTTTTTAGAGAAGACTTTGGCATAGGATAAAGCAACTAGGCAAGGATGAATTTTACTTCATTATTATATCATTCATAGCAAGGTAATAATGATATGCACCCAAACGGAGACAGCTCTTACTTGATATATTTTCCACAGCAGTGCAACAACTTGTAAGCATCTTCTTTGTTTACTTGGGATGTCCCCTTAGGAAGAGACTCCTTGATTCTATCCTCCAAACCAATCCATTGATTTAAAACCCATACAATTCCATTGAGCTACTTTGCAGTTAAAGAGAGCAAACAAAAGTAATGATAATTCATTCTAAAGCGGAACCACACCTAAGACCTTCAAGGAGTAGAAATCACAAGGTACAAATGTGCTTGATAAACAACTTTATCAATAACCTTATCATTTGGTAACACTTTTGTTTGCTGTTTGTGTTCACTTTTCAGAAAACAGAAACAAGAAAAAGTGGTTCACATCAGTGTGTTTGTTTCATTGATCAAGAAAGCATGTTTGAGATTTAATTATTTAAACACTGTTTATATAAGCTACACAATTTTTAAAAGTCATATTCACACTACGTAATATAAATCAAATGCACAAAACATAGTTACCAAACCTTTTTCATACTTTAGAAATTTGAAAAAAGCAAAAGATAGGGAAAAAATTGAACACAGGAAACATGAATACCTAATGGGCCCTTGACTTTCAACACTTTGTGAAAATATTCACGGTTAAGGATACAGCTGCATTTCTGGTAACAAAACTTGAAATGATACCAGAGCTCACAGGTTCTTCAGTGGAGGGGTCATTGAGAAGTTCTTCAGTGGAGTGGTCATTAAGAAGTTCTTCCTCAATAACTTCTGCTTCACTTGTGAAAACAGAAACATATTGATGTAGTTGCAAAAGGCTCACGTCATTTTCTTGAACTTGAACCAAGAATCTTGCAATGATGCTCCAAAGAGCACTTCTTGCTTCTACATCCACCGAAGCATAAGGGAATAGACTAAATAGACCCTGTAATAGCAAGAGGTCTGGAGGATCTTCATGTTATTCCTCACTACTTGATAAATAAACTTAAAGCTAGTTTTTAAAGTATAAATACAGAAAAATGATGACAAAAATGAAAACGGAAAATCTTTTTTTTTTTGCAGCAAATCATCTTACCTTGTGATACTTCTAAAGCTAGATCGGCAGCCTCTGTCAGTATATTTGCTATCAAAACAGCAGCAGTAATACAGCAATCAGCAACCTGCAGTAGATATGTTTCATTAAAACTAAATCATCTGAGCTTTTAAGTGCCACAGCTTGCACACATCATGTGCCCATCAAAATATCATGGCCTTTAAATAAATAAATGCGCATCTACATTATGAACAACCAAATATTGCTAAACCAAAGCAAAACCTGAATCAATTTTAAGATTTTGATTGGAAATATAAACCACCACAGATCAAGCATTAAAAAAACTAAACAAACAAAAATATTCTACTCAAAGCAGGGTCCAAGTAGGGTGAGATGTACACAGACCATACACCTACCCCGAGAAGCAGGAAGATTCTTTCCGTTGAGATCCTGGGAAGAAGTGAAAGGTAGTCTCATAGTGTGTAAAATATTCAATACGAGCACATAAATGTGATGCTCAATTTTGTTGGTGTAAGAAATTTCCATAATATGAGAAATTATAGGACCACTAGCAAACATTTGAGCCGAATATACAATAATGAGTCAGCTTCATTTGTTTTTTACATTTTCACTTTTTCCTTTTATGATTTCATTTTATAAATCAATCTGTGGCAAGGTTACATGCCATAAACTCGAGTCACTAAGCAAAATTTAAAAATAACTACATACCTCAACTTTTTCAGGAAGTTTGATTAGGTCAGTGAGTAGTATAAAAAGTCGTGTACTTGCACAGATTTCTTGTGAACATTCATCGATGACAGAAAGAGCCTCAATGGCCTGAAGAATCAAACCAAGAACAAAGTACCTGGTGCAGTACAAAGTGTTCTGGGTCAATAATATGGACCAAAGAATGGAGTTAATCCCACTTTAAACCCCCCGATATGGTGGCATCACCACCATTGGTCCTCTACTACCAATTTGACCACCTTTAATCCCCTCCACTTTCGAGATTGTACCAATTCCCAATCAAAATATCATCACTTCACAAATTTTAATATTCTCTATATGCCTTTGTACGATGGGACTAAAATGGTACATCATTAAAAGTAGACAAAGCAAAAGTGAATGCAGTGATTTTGAGAACCAAAAGTGACCATTTCACCGAAGTGGAAGGACAATGAATTGACTTTTAATGTCTCCAAGTGAAAAAATGTAACTTTCAAAGTGAGAAAATGTGTGCAAAGTGGAATGGAACACTGGATTCCACACAAGAACTATGGCAGAAGAATAACGGGGAACGAATGCATCGCATGGTTTAAAATGGCCCCAATATACAAATACAATATAGCCTGGTAACAAGAAAATCATACTACAAGGGTCATTGAATGAAGAGACATAATATGCCTAGTAGGCTGGTAAGCTCATTAGAAAACAAATCATTGTTGCCTTAATACCAGCTTTGTAGGGATAGGTGGAAAGATATTAAGTGTCAATTATTTGTCTAAAATTAGTTAACACTAAATTAATGCAAAAAAGAGGCTATGTTTTTATGTCGGGTGCCTTCCTGTTGCAACCATCTAAAGGAACAACTAGATGACTTCCCAAAACCATTCTTGTAATATGTTTTTCAGTTGCACAGAAATATCTTGAGAGTTAAGAACTTAAGACACATGTTTTCAGAGAATTGTGTTGTTGTAGTCATCAGTCATGTACTCATGTCTCAAACTCTCAATGCAAAAATTTATATGGTAACATCATCATGCACATCATGACACATCACTGGTTATCTAAATAAGTTGATTTCATTGCAAATAAGGCACACCAAAACAAATGTGATGCAAAACAATCTTTACCTTTCAGGTAACCGCTCTTCCCTTAATTTGCACATCTCAAAGGATAGAAGATCAACCAAAATTCGGGGGAGACCCATCTTCATTAATAGTGGTTGAAAAACACCAGCCGCTTCTTGCTTATTTTGCAACATTGCAAGGAGCAGGCTTACACTCTGTTTAATAGTGGAAAATTACATCACGCTGATAAGACATGCTGGCTCGTAAAAACCTTATATGTGCATGATAATGTACTATTTTCTGAATTAGCAAACAGTTATATTCCACAATTTATTCTATTCTTTATTTCTTTTGAGCTTTTGATAGAAATATAGGGTCATAAAAAGAAATATTATTTTAAGTTATGTTTTTCGGAGGGGGACATAGCCCATTATACGAATCCAAAGCTCTCTGAAGAGTGCTAGATCTGGACAAACCTACCATGTACAGCCAGAAATAAATAAATAAAAAAAAGATACACTGTAGTACTGTAGATGATATACAGATCCCTTATCCAAATCCATTTACCTGCAAGTGAGACTAGAAACAGATAAAGAACCCCATCTCCAAATCCATTTAATATTTTAATGGGAGCAAAAGCTCATAAAAGACAACAAAATTACCAGTGAATCAGACCAAAACCCTTCAGCAAGACAGCAACCAAAGAGCCATCCCTAACTCTTATAGATACTGATCACAAGAAGGAATTGAGATGTGCAATATCAATATCGCATGAACCACTATATAGAAGTGAATCGTGCCATTCAGTTACTCGCATGTTTAGCCTGAAATAAGGTGGGTGACATGACATCTTAAGTACTTTCTTCTTCTTCTTTTCTGTCTTTTCCAGTTGCCCCCCTCTACAACAGTTCTTTGTAGTTTGTATCTCTTCTCTTTGCTTTCTAAATTTAGAGAATGAAACTGAGAAAAAAGTAAAACAAAGAGCTGCTCTGGCTCACTCAGTTATGTGAATTTTGGTAGCATATTTGTGATGAAATCTGCCTAACTGTCGAGACCTCCTTGTGTATCATTAGAAAAATACTTGTAGTAGTGGTGAGATATTTGTGGCGATTGCTGCCTATCTCCACTAAGGCACTAGTCTACTAAGAATAAATACTCATACTAAAACATAATTTATATGTTACGGTTTTTATATGTATTAGATATTTTACATTTTTCATATGTTACGATTTTTATACTCATACTAAAACATAATTTACATGTATTAGATATTTTACATTTTTATTTGGTTTTGTATCTTACGATTCACAATATGATATAATTCATGATTCTAAAAATAGCCCTTGCGGTTCATGGCTTGAATCTCGATTTGATAACCTAGCTCAAGAACATCAAACAGGTGGCAGTCAACAATGAAACTTCTGTGTTAGCCATAATCATTCCTCCCAACAATCATGAGTAGTAGTCTAGAAGAGATGATGTATATCACCATATGGTCCACAAGAAATTCTCTGGAATGAATAAAAGGACTACCTCGATGGCAAAAAAAACTTAGAAGTGCTTTTATTTCATTAGTATTATTATTACAACTTTTTTTGGGGGGGAAGGGAGGGCTCAGTTGAAATTTTCTAAATCATATTTGTCAGGTAAAGCTATGTGATACAAATGCTATTACACTATGCAGGCTAACATTTCAGTTTATTTTGGAGTAAAGGATTTAAAATGATAAATCTATTAGATGGATACTTCTCTTCATACATCTATTACAACAGAGTCCCTCTATCCCTATTAAATCTTTCTACTTTGATGTTGCTCCAAGTATAAGAAAATGAAACAGATTTGTTGAGAATTCGAGATTTATTTAGAAAGAAAAGAATAAATACTAACTATACCTTCCTTAAAAGAAAATAAGAAGATTATTAAGGGACATACTGCAAAGGGAAGAGGAGAGATTGATGGAGAATGAAAAGAGTATAATGAATTAATGATGGAGTAAGAATGGAGAATAATTTCAATAGCTGAAGTTGAAGTGTTGAATGTAGTTTCATATTTCAGTGAAGTCAACCTCCTCCATTGTTAGCTTGAAGTGGATAATACACATATATGGAATTACAGATATACCTAGACTAGAAAAAAAAGCCTTCAAAAAATATCCATAATAACAATATGCAACCATAAAATGCAGTGTCCTAAAATTCTGGGAAAACTGCAAACTGTAACATAGAGAAAGACAAGTTTGGAGATCACCTGATACCTTATCAATAAGCTGTGGATTTAATGTATTTTCCACAATCCATAAAATTCGACATAATATATGCTCAGATTGCAAGGCCTCTGCCCAAAGAACACTCTCATCACCTTGAAGGCATAAAGTCACTACCCTACAAAATATTAGTGTAAGAATGTTGACTGCATACAAATAAATCATATACTGAGCTGGGATTTAAACTTTCTAAAATGTCACTTGATCCAGAACTCTTGATTTCTAATTTCATGTCGCATACATGGCATATTGAAATTCGGATTTGCAACTCAATAGAAGTATAGAACTCTTAATAAAGCTAATTTATTTACGGAGTATTTTGTAGGGAAAATTAGCTTTATCCTCAATCAATCCTCATATCCTGGTGAGACAGTTAATTCAGAATTGAGGTAGTACAAACAAAGAAGTAAAAGCATGGAAAAGTGAAAAATATCTTAGCAAGGTGATCCAAACAGAATGTAAATAACTAACTAAATGAGGGACAGTTGGTAAACTATTTGTCTAAACATGGTAAGACTTTAAACTGCGGATGCACTAAACTATCAGGCCAAGATCTGCATCTTTGAAAATCAGGTATAGTACCGGCATGCTTCACAGAGACATGGTGTGTCATCCAGAAACAGCTGCTCCAAGATTGCCCTGATCAATCCATTTGTGGAAGTTATCTTCTTCTGAGAAAGTTCATGGCAAGCAAGGTTTCCAATGATTCCCAAGCTAATTTCCTTTTGATGAATATTCATGTTAAGAAAGGATAACATCAATGCATGTAGGTACATCAAGATCATCCGTATAAGATGCACATGAACTAAATTAGGGAATGCCACTCACTGTAACTCGCGCAGATTTTGAAACCACGAGAGTGGAAAAGAGAACTTCAAGTATGAGGTTTTGAGCCTGTATTTATAAAAATTGCATCTGTTATCACAGGGCTTGAGAACTGCTGCAGTGATCATCATCATCATCATTACCCCAGTGCCGCAACGGCTCCCACCTACGGTGGGGTAAGGGGGTAGGATGTACGCAGTCTTACCCCTGTACTACAGCACAGAGAGACTGTTTCTAGATGACCCAGAGTGAAAATTGCGTCCAAAATTGCATGGACTGAGTGCTGCTTCATAACAATGATGCGCAAACAGTTTAGTGAGCCACTTTGCTTTATTCCATCATATTCTCAAACCAAAAAATAGTGAGTCTTTGACTCCATTGCAAATGAGGAAAAAAACTGCTGCAGTGATGAGTAAAAAAATGCTGCACTCTTTGGGAGGGGGGCTATTGTGACAAACTAGAAATCATAAAAATCATATTCAGCATTGTTGTTAAAATCTCCACCTAGCCTTAATTAACTCCAGCCTAGGCGCTAATGCGCTATGCTGTTGTTGGGCGCATAGGATTTGTTCCTACCTAAGCCCTAGCTAAACGCCCCAATTCCTCAGGTCCTGCCTCACCCATCGTCCACAACTTGGCACTAAGTCCTTATGTGCCTCTTAGCGGGTGCCTGGCAGGCTGAGCGCTTTTTTACAAATTGATCCTTAGCACTTTCCTTTAGCCTAACAAATAGCAAGTATCACTGACTCACAGGAGTAAACAACAAAATGAAGGTCACACTGAATTGAACTCCAAACTTGAGTCTTTATCCATCATCCTAAAAAGCCGGTAGTCTACCCCGCATTTCCCATTAAAACAAAAAAGAATAGTGATATCTGATAAGATGAAGAATGTGAGCAAAAAGAGAGAGAATTCAAGAACCATGAAATCAGCATGAGTTTTACTTGCAGCAAGATCCCATAAAATACAACCATATTCTTCCCAGGCGTCTTCTCCTGCTGTTGACCCCTTCTTTGTACTTTCACGGCATAGAACACCATCAAATCCGTTTACTGTTTCTGCTTTATTAAAATCATTAACAACATCCAGGGATTTATTTTCATGATTTGTCTGCATCCCTTCTCCATTTTCAAAAGAAGAGGCTGAAGTTGTCGTCAGCTCTTCAGTTTTTTGTTCCCCAGAGGCCCCTCCAACTTTCACTTCTGTTGGTAGGAGTTTTCGTATCAAAGATATTACATATGCAGGATCAACAGTTGTTGATAGATCAAACAGCTGCAGCATGAAACTCATTACAATATGACCAGAAAACGCATAAGTAACAAAATCTTAAGAAGTAATATACACGTATGCTCAATATAAAATCCCTCAACAGCCAGCTTGTCATCCCATGCTGAGGAAAGAAAACACCAGAAAGGCATTATACTTTGGTTGATTCTAGCTTGGAATTGACAACTTGTTCAAATTTTAATCATTTTAAGAAAAGATTAGGTCTTTCTGGAGTTTAAGAATGACAGTTTCTTTATTCTGAAGAAAACCAGATGCTTCAATTGAGATGGAGGGAAAACTGAAGACCAAAATGGAGTGTGAAAGTTCAAATCTTAACTTTTTGCTCATACTATAACATCACTAATGGAAAAATGATTTTGGCGTACAAGAATTTGAACATTCCTGTGCAATCTGTGTCTTACTACTTACTGGAAAGATAACGTTTTTTCTTAAAAAACATAGTTTCAACTATGGAGTTCGTTTAACTACAAAATTGACCTCTAATAAGAAAAAACACAATGCCACAAGAATATAGGATAACAAAAAACATAAATTATAAAAGAAAAAAGAGCTTAACAAGACTATTGAATTGCATTAACTATCAGATAAAGCTAAAATGCATTTCCGGCGAGGTTAAGGAACAAATAGAATTGTTATGTATCAGAGAATTCCTCATTCAAATGATTCAATTCTATCATATGGATAATATATACGTAGTATTAAAGAGGTAGCTGGGTGTTAGAAAGTGGACAGGAAAAAACAAGAACCCTAATTTGAGAAATTCTAGAATATATAAGGAGCACATTGAGCTCAAGAAAAACCTCATGGGAAGGGGCAGGAGGGTGGTGAGTTGATGGCAGAGATTCTTGTTCTTCTCCGTTTTCTTGAGTCGGTGATTCTGTGGGGATTGACATGTTAACGATAACAACTGTTTAGCATCGTCCCGCAATGTAGCCGCGCAAATAAAAAACCCCTTTTAATTTTTAAATTAGTAGTACGGTTTTACTTCATTCCAAAAGTCTCACTTAAATTAGTAAGACATCTAAGCAAACACACAATCAACTTAAAAAGCTGCTTACTAACAAAAAGATGTGTTTAAAGTATTGCTTACTAAATATATCACCTTAAGTATTACTCTCTCCGTCCCTCTTATATTGTCCCGTTTTACCTTTTCGAGAAGTCCCACTAAAATTGTCTCATACCATATTTGGTAAAATTTGTGTGGTTCTAAATCATTCTTACTTTATTCTTACTTTATCAATTAATATCAACCACACAACCGCACTTTTCTTAATAATCGTGTCACTCTCTTCCGACCCAATATAAGAGGGACGGAGGTAGTAATTAAGTAGCATTTTAAACTTTTTCAGTTTACCCTTACTCTATTGTTCCCTCTACCCCTACCCTACCCTACCTCACCCCCATTCCCCAACCTACCTACCCTTACCCCTGTTACCTCTTGCCTTACCCCGACCCTACCCCTTTACCCCCTACCACCGGTCCCTACCTCGACTCCACCCCGACCCCACCCCCACAAGTTAAGGTAGGGATGAATATGCAGGTTGTAGGGGAGTAGGGGTAGAGGCAGAGGCGGAGCTACATGTAACCCTAAGGGGGCCATTGCCCCCCCCCCCCCCCCCCACCCCCCAATTTTTTTTACATAGGAGGAAGAAATAATTTTAGCCACATATTCCTTACTTTAAATAGAAATGACAAATCTTTTTGGGACATCCAAAAAAAGAAATTTGGCCAACCTTTTCGGAATGGATGGAGTATATATTAGTATATATTTATATATATAAAAAATTCTGACCCCCCCCCCCCCCTACCCTAAAGTCTGGCTCCGCCCCTGGGTAGAGGGTAAGGGTTGTGGTAGGGGAAAGGTGTGGAATTGGGGTGTAGGGGAGGGGTGAATGGGGGTACGAGTATAGGGCAGAGTAAGGGGTTAGGGGTATGAGTACGCGTACAAGGTGACCCTCACGTATTATACTCCGTATTATATACTTGTGTTCATGAATGTGTGTGTGTCTATATATGTATAGGGTTATTTTGGACATTTTAATGTTAAACGGTGTTTTAAATCCTTTGAAATGAACACGAGCTTACAACACTGCTTATTTTAAGCGCCACTTATTAACACGAGTCTTAATAATAAGCACCGTTTAGTAACCTGTGAAGTAAGCGTGTCATTAGTACTAAGTATAATTTTTTGTTGAAAAAGTGTTTCAAACCCAATAAAATAGTCTTTTTGTTGCTCTTGGTTTACATAAACTAAATTTAAACAGTCACACATTTAATACGAACAGTCAGAATTATGTTCGAGAAAATGAACTTATGTAAGAAATGAGAATGAATCTGATCAGATAGATTGTATTATGTGAATTTGAATGTGTATATTAGGTGAAACTGAAATATCAATTAGGTGAAATCGACATGTGCAACACAAAGGGTGCGGCACAATGACATTAATTTTTCTGTCGAAACAGCGACAATCAGAAGATAATTTTTTAGTATGATTTTAGGATCGTTAGAGGAAGTAATTAGGCTAATTTAGTGGATAAGATCTTTGAATTTCTCACATGTTGAGAGATTAATCTTGCTCATTTTTGGACAGTCTATTCTATGTCTGATCAGGGAGTAAGTGGACATTTTGGTTATATTCAGTCTAGATGGAGGGTTGCAATTTTTATTTGGTCATTGAGTCATTATTATTAGTGCAATCCGAGCTAAGAAAAGGGTGTTTGAAATTGATTCTGTTTATGTTTCTTTTTTAGAAAAGAAGAAGTAGAATCAGAATCAATTTTCAAAAATTGGTCTCCCTCAATCTCTAAAGAGCTACTTCTGAGAGCATTTTGAAACTTCAAAAGTACTTCTACATTTTAACATAAACAACCTAATGTTTGATTCTATTCACTAAAGAAGTAGAAACAGTTTTAAGACGTACATTCAAACACCCAAAATCGATCATGACGAGTTTAAACTCTCTAACCTTATTTAAACACCCCAAAATGGATCATGATCAGTTTAATTAAACTCTCTAACCTTATTTGAATTGTTAAGAATCACCTTATATCAACGTTATAAAAAATACGGAGTAAGAAATATCAACACATGCTTTAATCTGTAAGAATATATGCTTTAATCTGTAACAAGGATCAACACATCCTGTCGGGTCGGCGTGGGGGGCTCCTGGGGTGGGAGATTCCACCTTTTTGGATCAAAGGATATTTGAAATACTTGTGTAGAATTGCTTCATCGAAAAAAGATTGTATAACAACTACAATGAGGGATGATATATTCCGTTGTGTTGTAAAATCCTGAGAATGATGAGTGTGAATTGTCCATCCTTGTCATCAGGACACTAATCCAATTTCCATCCTTGTAATAGACAGATGGCTAGGTTTAATGTTTCCAGCAGATTATGTAGAATAATTCTTTGATGATTCATCTCCTAGCCAACTAGTATAAATAGGGTGATCAACCCTTTGTAAATGTACTCAGAAATTCAGAAAATATTCAGATATTAAGAAGAAGTAATTTAGAGGTTCTTTATCTATTTCTATCTCATAAATTTGCTCTTCATCTTCTTCATTTCACAACACTTTTGTGCATATAATGAGTATCTAATTGTTGGATATTTTGGATAGTATAAACAATTAATACCCATCATAAAAAAACTAACTTTGATTTTAGGATATACATGTGGCCAATGTGCATGGTTACTACTTGCTAGTTACCATAATTCACGTCAATGACAACCGACCATTCTATTGTTGGTAAGTGGGGTACGGTGATAATCTTAGTTTGGTTTCCTTCTTGATATATTAGGTGTTTTTGTTTCCCTCGCATGTAAGTGTTTCTGTCCTCGCTAGCTTTGGCCAGTCGGGTGTGGTGACTGCTTGGATGGGCTGTATGAGTCGAAACTGTCGCGGGTTAGGAAATCTAGTCACGGTCCAAATGCGGGAGGTCAATATAGAGGTAGATGGAACCGTATAAAAAACGGCGTTGCGGCGGTGCTACTGAACCAACACTGCCCGAAATTCCATTAGTTGCTGGGAGTGAGAGTGTTCCTTTATGGTGGCTGGACAAACCTCTTCTCCCTTTCCAATGGCTGGTCAAATCGGAATGGCATCCTTGGAGCTGGTGGCGAGTAAAACCAGGACTTGTGATTCTTTTGTTTCTTTTCAGCTTTTGAACTCTAGTTTTTTATACTTTTGTCTTAGTAGCAAGTGCAACGATGCTATTAGAATAGCCTACCATTGTGTGGAGTTGGTGATCTGGTCTGACCTTCTGGGGCTAGTCAGTGCTATGTCTCACTCCAGAGTTGCTCTGATTTATTGCTCTGCTTTGTTTATGTTTACTTTCATTATTATTAATGAGTGATTTTCTTTCAAAAAAATATAGGGATAATTTGAGTTTGCACCCCACTTTATTGTCAAAATTAGACTTTGCACCCCGTTTTTGAAATCCTTAGTATTTACACCCTAATCCCGTATGAAAAGACAAGAATGCCCCTTGATTAGAAATATGTTGAAGGCCAACAATATTGTTAACTGAGGGACATTTTAGTCTTTTCATACGGGGTTGGGGTGCAAATACTAAAGATTTCAAAAATGGGGTGCAAAGTCTAATTTCAACAATAAAGTGGGGTGCAAACTCAAAATATCCCAAAAATATACTGTTTAGATAATCCGTATGTATCTCCTATTAAGTTTTCAATTTGACGTTTATCGTATGGTCTTTATGTAAAAATTTGACCATAAATATTTAAAAATCTATACTTAATAAATGTTAGGAATATAAAATAATGTTACATACGTTTATTGTAAATAGCTTGGAACCTTCTAGATATACCTTAGGCTGTTAGTGCTGTTATACAGGCTGTTAGAGTTAGTTACTTGTATCCTACTATAAATACTTGTATTGACTCTTGTAATAATAATAATTGAAATCTCCTACTTTTCATCTGAGTTCGTTTTCTAATATGGTATCAGAGCTTTAGCTCGATCAACCATGCCGGAAACTGATTCAACTTCATCTTCAACCTCCGCTGCTGGAAGTGTCGCCTTTCCAATAGCGTTCAATCACCCTCTTCCAATCAAATTAGACTCGAATAACTATCTTTTGTGGAAGCATCATGTTGAGTCTGTGATTCGCGCGCACAGACTTGTTCGGTTTATAGAGAATTCGAAGACTCCAGAGCAATTCATCACAGATGAAGATGGAAATGAAATTGTGAATGAGGCTTACACTCACTGGGATTCACAGGATCAGATGTTATTCGCATGGATGCTTTCGTCTCTATCTGAAACTCTACATGCTCGTATTATTCATTGCCAGCGATCGTATGAACTCTGGAACACGATTCGCAATTTCTTCCAAGCTAACATCGTTGCTAGGGCGAGGCAGCTCAAGTCCGAACTCTATAACACTGGAAAAGGGGAACGATCCATCTCAGAGTACCTGCTTAGAATTCAGACAATTGTTAACAATCTTATTCTCGTAGGTGAACCGATCTCTAATAAAGATCATATCAATGTCATACTCGAAGGATTGCCGCAAGATTATGAATCTCTTGTGTCCTCTGTAACTTCTCGAAGCATTCTCGAACCAGTTACCTTAACTGAACTTGAGTCCTTGCTTCTAGCAAAAGAGATGAGACTTAAGAAACATCATGATACTACTCAGCAAAGCATATTTTCTGCCAACGTTGCTCAAGTTGATAATTCCTCTCAAAACAATTCATCTGAAATCTCTGTTTCTGTTGAAAATGCCTCTGCAAATGTTTCTCAGTATAATAATCCAAATAGTGGTAATCCTTACCGCGGACGTGGTCGCAGTGGCTATTACAGAGGCAGGGGTGGTCGCTCTGGACGTAATTCTATCACTTGTCAAGTCTGTGGAAAATCAGGTCACCATGCCTTGATTTGCTACCATAGATACAATCCTGCATATACCAATCCAAACCCTAATCCTTCTTCTCAAAACCCTAATTATCCAAATCAAACATCTGGACCTCCATCCTACTGGAATCCCAACTCACAATCTCACTATCCTCCAAATCATTATACTCATCAACCTAAACCATATACCTTTCAATCTCAATCTATACAATCAAAACCCAATCAGTCATGGAATCATCAGCTTACCAATCCATCTCCACCTCCTGAAACCTTCAACTGGGGACATCAGCAACCTTTTAATACTCCACCAATTGCAAACTATGCCACTGCTAATCATTCTGTACCTAGTCCTATTCCATCTAATCAACATTGGTTTCCAGATTCAGGAGCAACTCACCATGTTACTGCAGATCCACTAAATTTCCAGCACAGTGAGCCTATTGCCACATCTGACAAGCTCTTCATGGGCAATGGACAAGGTTTGGATATTAAGTCTATAGGTTTTTCTTCCTTTCTCTCACCTTTTCACTCCTCACAATCACTCTTACTGAATAATATACTTCATGTTCCTCATATAACCAAAAATCTACTGAGTGTTAGTCAGTTTGCCAAGGACAATAATGTCTTCTTTGAATTTTATCCTCATGACTGCTATGTCAAATCTCAGGTTTCTAAACAAGTCTTGTTGCATGGAAAACTTGGTGAAGATGGCTTATACAAGTTTCCTTTCATTCCTCTTGGTTCATGTCAAACTGCTGCAGTCCATCCTCCAGCCTCTTTAGTGTCAACTAATAAATCTGTGCATCCAATGTCTTGTTTGTCATCATGTAATAAGTCTCAGTCATGTAATTCTTCAATTTCATGTAATCTTTGGCATCTCAGATTAGGTCATCCTCATCTTGAGGCACTTAAATCTGTACTTAAACATTGTAATATGTCTTCTATAAATCACATTGATGTTGATTTCTGTTCTGCTTGCTGTCTTGGGAAGGCACATAGACTTCCTTCACATCCTTCTAATACTGTTTATCATAAACCCTTTGAAGTAATATTCACAGATCTTTGGGGTCCAGCACCCATTGTATCTTTTGATGGATATTCCTATTATATAGCCTTTATTGATGGCTTTACAAGATATACATGGATATATTTCCTGAAAAATAAGTCTGATGCTCTTCTAGCATTCCAAAATTTCTACAACTTGATTCTCAATCAATTTTCAATATCCATTAAATCTGTACAGTCTGACTGGGGAGGAGAATTTAGATCCTTCACTAATTTCCTCAATGACAAAGGAATCACTCACAGAATCATATGTCCCCACACTCATCATCAAAATGGTTTGGTTGAAAGGAAACATCGCACTATTGTTGAAAAAGGTCTCTCAATCCTAGCCCATTCTTCTTTACCTTTTAAGTTCTGGGATGCTGCATTTGCAACCTCTGTGCACCTTATCAACAGAACTCCATCTAAGTCCATTGCCAATTCCAGCCCATATTTTAAACTTTATGGATCTATTCCAGATTATTCTTTTCTTAAAGTCTTTGGTTGCACTTGTTATCCTTTTCTCAGACCTTACAATAAACACAAGTTTGATTTTCACTCAGAAGAATGTACATTCCTAGGATATTCTTCTCAGCATAAAGGCTATAAGTGTCTTTCAAAATCTGGCAGAGTGTACATTTCAAAGGATGTCATCTTTCATGAATCAAGTTTTCCCTATTCATCTGTATCCCAATCTTCTATTCCCACAACCAAACCTATTCATAACTTAGATTCTGCCATATTAACTGTTTTAGACTCAAATCCTTCTTCTGGTTCTAATTCATCTCAATCTCAGTCTCATAACTTCTCATCAAATAATTCCCAGCACACTGCCTTGCAACCCATCTCTTCTAATAATCACAATCAATCAGCAAGCCATTCATCTACTCCTTCCACTCATAATTCTTCAGCAAATTCCAACAACTCTACTCCCAGTCCATCCCTACATCAACAAGCTATTAATCAACCACCTTCTCCTTCATCATCTGACTCTACTTCCTCAATTTCAAATTCTGTTCATATAACTAACACTCATCCTATGCAAACTAGATCAAAATCAGGAATTATTAAACCTAGACTTAATCCTACCTTGCTGTTAGCACATGTTGAGCCTCAGTCAGTGAAGCAAGCACTCACATCTCCTCAGTGGTTCTCTGCAATGAAAAATGAGTATAATGCCTTGATAGAAAATCAAACATGGTCTTTAGTTCCTTTACCACCTGACAAACAAGCTATAGGCTGTAAATGGGTCTTTCGAGTTAAAGAAAACCCTGATGGTTCTCTTAACAAATATAAGGCCAGATTAGTGGCCAAAGGCTTCCATCAAAGGTTTGGATTTGATTTCAAAGAAACATTTTCTCCAGTGATCAAACCTATCACTATCAGAATATTGCTCACTTTGGCAGTTTCTTATCATTGGTCCATTCAGCAATTAGATGTCAATAATGCCTTTCTAAATGGAACACTTGATGAAGAAGTCTACATGGTCCAACCCCCAGGCTTTCAGGCACAGGACACCACTTTAGTCTGCAAACTTCACAAGTCATTATATGGCCTAAAGCAGGCTCCTAGGGCCTGGTTTCAAAAACTGACTTCAGTTCTTTATACAGCAGGGTTTCAGCAAAGTAAATGTGATCCATCTCTCCTATTCTTCAAGTCTCAAGGAGTTCAGATCTACATATTAATATATGTAGATGACATTCTGGTCATAGGCAATGATTCTAAAGCAATTCAAAACCTTATTTACAAACTACACTCATCCTTTTCTCTCAAGCATTTGGGTGACATTGACTTTTTCCTAGGAATAGAAGTCAAAAAGCTACCTGATGGAAGTCTTCATCTATCTCAAACCAAGTACATAAGAGATTTATTACATCAAGCTGGCATGATTGATTCCAAAGGAGTAAAAACTCCCATGGTTAGTAACTGCAAGCTAACCAATACAGGAAGTGCTACTCTTCCTGATCCCTCCACTTACAGATCCATTGTTGGCATGCTGCAATATGCAACTCTTACAAGGCCAGAACTTAGTTATGCTGTAAATAAGGTCTGTCAATTCATAGCAGTACCTCTACAAGATCACTGGAAAACAGTAAAACACATTCTCAGATATCTATCTGGTACTATAACACATGGCATCATCATTAAACCTCTACCTCTGAAAACTATGCCTTTACCTATCTTTGCCTTCTGTGATGCTGATTGGGCATCTGACCTAGTTGACAGAAGGTCTACTTCTGGATCATGCATCTTTCTTGGGTCAAACATCATCTCCTGGTGGTCCAAGAAACAACTGAGAGTGGCCAGATCCTCTGCAGAAGCTGAATACAGAAGTTTAGCAGACACTGCAGCTGAACTCCTGTGGCTTCAGTTCCTACTCAAAGAACTTCAAGTATCATTCTCTACTCCAAAAATCTACTGTGACAACCTCAACACTGTACAGCTTGCCCACAACCCTGTGTTACACTCCAGGATAAAACACATGGAGATTGATCTCTTTTTTGTGAGGGAGAAAGTTCAGTCCAAGCAGATTGAAGTGTTCCATATTCCTGCTTCCCAACAAATTGCTGATATTCTGATAAAGGCTTTATCTGCATCTTCTTTTCTTGAGTTAAAAGCCAAACTTAGTGTGATTGACCGACCTTCCAAATCAATCACCCTAAGTTTGAGGGGGGAATGTTAGGAATATAAAATAATGTTACATACGTTTATTGTAAATAGCTTGGAACCTTCTAGATATACCTTAGGCTGTTAGTGCTGTTATACAGGCTGTTAGAGTTAGTTACTTGTATCCTACTATAAATACTTGTATTGACTCTTGTAATAATAATAATTGAAATCTCCTACTTTTCATCTGAGTTCGTTTTCTAATAATAAAATATAATATAAATAAATTAACATGTATTTAAATAATACTGTCGTATACTACTACGTAGTACAAAGTATATTGTAATGAATTATATTTAAATGAATAGTCAAACTTTATAAAATTTGATTCAAAAAATACAACTAAAAACTTATTCGAAGGACATAGGAGTATTTGATTAAAATATACTCCATAACATTTATTCAAGAATATTTATTTATTAATTATTGGTAGGGAGTAATTCAAGAGTTTGTTACTTGTTAGTGTCAATCTAGCTTTTATCATTCTCTAGACTATATACCCCACCATCCATTTTGATGTATAAAAACAATCGCACCATTCGCCGTACAATCCAACGCGTAATTAAACTTTAGTTCTAAAGAAAAGAAAAATACTTCAACTAGAAATTAAATCATCTCCAAACCCCCTTGGCCCCTTTTCGCTTCTGGGGAAAAACAATTCTCAAAGACATTATAAAAGCTTGATTTACCATAGATTCGTAATCATATTAAACCTAAGCAATAAAGCAAGAATATCATCAACTTTTAAAAGCAGGGAATTATCTTAAGGCGCGCAGCAATGACGTTTAAAAATAGTGAAATCCTTTTGACCCATTGTTTCTTTCTGCTGTTCTTAGCCACCGCACAGGCGGTGGCGCGGAAAGAGCTCCAAGAAGCTTCTCCTCCGCCAGCGGCAAGTGCAGCTGGTACGTATTAAATTCTACGGAGTATATATATATATATATATATATATATATATTTGTAATGAAATTCTACATAAAAAAGAAAACTTGGAGGGATTTTTGGATCACAAAGGTGGATTGGCCGGAAGGTAAAGAAAACTGCATTGTGTCCCCATAATCTAGATTTTTTCTTTCTTTTAATGTTTTGCATTTTAGTCTTTAAACCATCAAGATTTTAAACATGCGATTGGGATAATCGATGACGAAGTTTTATTACGTACTCCGTGTATATATATGGAGTATACTAAGAGCCGGTTTGATAACTTTATTTTTTGATTTTTTTTATCAAATACGTAATTTTTATTTGCGCTGAATTGTGTAAATGTGTAATAATAAGAAAAAGTAAGGTTGGAGTTATTTTTCTGATTGTATTGGCTGAAGTTACTGCAGATAACTATTTTAGCTATTTTTCATATATATTTTTATTTATTTTATTAATAAAATATATTTTAAATATTTTTTCCATAAATCAGCAGAATCAGTCAATACAACCACTTCACCAAGAACTTCATAAATTTCGGAAAAATCAGTCAATTAGAGTCAATTCAGTGTTACCAAACGGGTTCTAAATCTGCAAAAAGACTTCATTTTTGAAGATCTTAATTATACACGTTTTTCATTTTAATTCTTAAACGTGAGCATTTAGCACATTTTAGATCTCATAAAACTGACATGTGACGTTTATCTTTAATTTGAACTAGCATACTATGGTGCATTATATTGCATATATTTTTACTCATGATCTAAAGTATTAATGTTCGAAAAACAATCTAATTTCCCAAAACAAAATAATCTGGACTATTTTGCAAATTTATTTAACTTATAGAGCGAAAATATGCATTTGCAAGTAAGCTTGTCCAAAGATTATACTCTCATTTGTTTCGTTTGGCACTGTTTGCAAATGCTAAAAAAAGCACTTCCCGGCTTTTGACTTATAAAAGCTAAAAAAGAATGTTTTCAAGTCATAACGTTTACTTAAATTAATACTTGTACTTAGAATCTGCTTTTTACTTTTTCTATTACACAAAAGCACTTATTTTACCAAACACTTTCAACTTTAACTTTTCAAAATCAAATTTTTCTCAAACACTACCAACTTTTACTATTAATCATTTTTTCCAAAATCACTTCAAAAAGTTCAAAAGCACTTATGAGTAGTGTTTGCAAAGTCTTTGTGTAGTTTACATTGTGGTGTTTTTAATTCAACTCTATTTTTTTTGGCTTGATCTGATCGGGTTTGGTCTATTTAAGTCTGATTTGATTTGGTTTGCTAGATGTTTATTCAATGTGTATTTACAACTGTTGAAGTCTAGAGTCGTTTGTTCTGATTTGTGTATGTTTGCTCAGTGTATTATGATTTTTTTAAATCTAGTCTAGTTTGATCTGGAAATGAAATCATTAAAAAGATCCTTACTCATTTTACACCAATAATAACAAACAGGTGTTTTCAAATTTCTAATAAGCGTGTGTTGAGAAGAACATTTTGAGTTAGTGGGAGTTTTGCATGTATCCTCCATCCCTTCTTATATTTTGATCATTAATATATTCTAATATGAATGAACAAGTATTGACATTTTCCAAGTAAAATGGCATTTGTATACACATTTTGTACATGTCAATTTAATGGGATCCTACACAAAATATCACTTTATTTCAAATTAAATATTGCTTGATCACTTATCTAATCATAAATCTGGTCTGAGCATTACAATTCAATAGTTCTATTAACAAATTCAAACCGAATTCATTATGGTTCCACATTTCCAAATTTGAAATCACAAATCCAACTCAAACTAGTACTTAGAATGGTTTCCTTATGTATAATTCCAGAACAAAATTACATTTCTTCCGATCCCACTCTTCACTTCTCTGTATTCATTCAATTCACTCATTTCTAAAGAGTACGCAGCTTCAAATCTTTAAGCTCCATCTAATTAACAATGCCAAATTACCAATTTACTTGCAGAAATGCTCGATTATCCAGAAGATCCGACTGCCGTGATTGTTATAGCCTACGCGAGCAGCGTCACCATCCCCGCAATCGCCTCCATCCTCTTCATGAAGAAATTCATCGATTTCCAAGCAGTAATCCTTGTTTGCGGGATGTGTCCCTGGGTTTCCAATGAGGCCGTTCGATCTCACAGCGCCATGTTTCTACTCATCCAAATAGCGCTCAATTTCACCGGATTTTGCTGCTGGATCTTTTCATGCGTCAGAAATGCGAGGCTGAAAAATGGGCGGTCGTCTTCGGAGGTGGCGTTTGAAACGGGGGCTTGGTTTTATGCGCTGGGGTTGAGCGGCATTGAGATCGCGCTGAGGCTGTTGCTCCGTGACAGGAAGTTTCATAAGGTGGCTTCTTGGTACCCGGCTGCTATGTCTCTGCTTTTGTTTGTGGGCAATTATTGGAGTAGAGGCAGGGCAATGAAAAGCTCTGCTAAAGTCTGATGATCTTTTGAGAAATATGGAAGATAGAATAGGTGTGTGTAGTAGACATTTTTGTGGTCGGAACAAATGACTTTAAATTTACAAAAAAATCCACTTTTGGTCTCATGACTATTATAACACTTCCACATTTAGTCTCTTATTTTCAGATTGTCCACATTTAGTCCATAATCATTATCCCTTCACCACCCCTCGTTCTTCCGACCAAAATTCCGTCAAATTTAATGCAGATTTTAGGTATGAAAAATCAAATTTAATGCAAAGACTGATATGAAAATTCCAACCTGATACAAAATTTAATGCAAAGAATGATTCTAAGGCTGTGAAGTGGACTAAATTTATCGGAATTTTGGCCGGAAGGACGAGGGGTGGTGAGGAGATAATGGTCACGGATTAAATGTGGACAATCTGAAAGTAAGAGACTAAATGTGGAAGTGATATAATAGTTATGGGACCAAAAGTGGAATTTTTTCTAAAATTTATGTACTACGAAGTACAGTATTTCGGAATCTTAGTCGAATGGAAATTATGGAATATCTATTTAAATGGGGTGCTATCATATATAGATTTTAAATTTAGGTGAGATTTTTTTACCAATTAAAAAATGGCCTTTTTATTTCGATATTACTAAAATGTGACATCTTTAAAAAATTTTCAAAAAAGTGACTAAAAGTCATTTATTTCCTTGTATTTTATCATACATTTATTATTTTAATATTCCTTTCATATACTACCTCCGTCCCGGTGGACTTTGCCAAATGCAAAGTAGGTGAGAAATAAGAATACTAAAACTGTGTGGTAGATGTTGGTCCAAAGTAGGACACTCGTAGGCTTTTAGGAAAGCTACGTAAGAACACTCAAGTAGGAATATAGGAAAGTACGAATATGGAAAGTTGCAAAGGGAATTTGGTATCCAGAAATAGCATGTAGAATTCGCTTCCTCTAATCTGAATTACAACCCGACTTTTATAGGCATATACATATCGTAACCGCTACCAATAATAATGACTAATTAATTACAACATTAATACAGAATTAAATATATAATTAATAGCGCATTAATTGCTTGACCGTTACTCTTCCGGATTGGGAGGTTGGCCGAACTGACAGGCTCCCCGCTGGACTGGTAGACAGGCTCCGGGTTGTGGACTTGGATCCACAGGTCCAAGTTCAGGACTTGGGCTTATTAGGCTCTGGGCCTAGTCCTATTACTCCATCACGAGTCATCCACTCCCTTAGTCGAGTAGTAGCTCGGCTAAGAGGGAGTAGTCCAAGTCAGTTGCTCTTCTCCGAGACTAGAAGATTCTCGCCCTTGTCCATGTTGGGGAGATGCCTAATTAAAAACCTTCATTAGGAAAAAACCCAATGGAAAAAAATCTTAATGAAGGGAAAATGAGTACATCTGACACCCTCAATTCAAGATGAAGCAAGAGGTGAGATCCTCAGCCTTTATTGCAATGGTCGTCATCTGCGAATATGATGGCTAGAATTGTTCTTCTCGTCGGGCTCTGACTCATCAAGTTCGTCATTTGCTTCCTTGAAGACGGTAAGACCCTCTGTCCCCCACTTCGTTCAGTTGTACCTACACATAAAAGAAACTAGTGTAGAATAGAGCATCTAGCCTGGTGTCGAACCATGATTCAGTGTGTAAGTGAGTCGGACTCACTACTTGAAAAGAGTGACATCAAGTTCCCGAGTTAGGCCTCAACCCAGTCTCTGAAAGAAGATTGAATCCGCGAGTAAGTGAGTCGGACTCCTCATTCGAACGGATAATCCAACCCCAAAGAACTAAAGTATATAAACCTTTTTGAGAAATGTGAATGTCAATTAAGTGATAAAATTGCTCGGAAGAACGTGCTCTAGGTCTCTAACAAGAGTTTAACTCGCTGTCTGAGGTTAGTAGTTCGAACCCGCAAGTGAAAACTTTTGAACGGGTGACTCGTCCCCCGAGGTTGGAGTGTGATGCACTAGGAAGAGGTAAGAGCACGCAAGAACTCGTATGAAGTCAAGAGTGTGCGGTATTAATTAACATTCATATTGGAGGTTATTAATCGTCACACCCATATGACGTGACCCAGTGGCATGAGTGTGTGTGCTCGGCCAGTGTACAAGTGTGTGTGTGCTCGTCCGTCGTACTTGAGTGATCAGATTTCATAAGTCTGTTGTTCAATGTTAAAATTACACATGCTTGACAAGAGTAAAAACAATTAACCCACTTAATCATTTTCTTTTCAAATGTTTCAATTTGTGATTTTTTTATTGTAATGTATCAAATATAGAGGAGTTTTGGATACTTAGAGCCCGTTTGGTGACCGTTTTTTTTGGCTTATCAGGCTTATCAATCAGCTTTTTCACCAAACACGTAACTTTTGATTTCGCGCGCTGAATTGTGTAATAAGCAGAAAAAGTAAGGTTGTAGTTACTTTTCTGGCTGTATTGGCTGAAGTTACTGTAGAGGATCATTTTAGCTATTTTTCATATAATTTTTTATTTTATTTATTAATAACAAATATTTTAAATATAATTTTTTCATGAATCAGCAGAATCAGCCAATACAGCCAGTTCAGCCAGAACTTCATAAATTTCAGCAGAATCAGCCAATTCAGCCAATTTTTAGTGTTACTAAACGGGCTCTTAGCTTTTTTGAATCGGGCTCAAAATTGAACGGGTTGCGTGCCTGTGGGTTGATAAAGAAATTGCAGTTGGGCAGCTCCACTAACAATTTTGACCTAGTCTTTGGCGGCTCTCACGTTTGGCGAGTGGGCATTAGCATACAGCTACTATAGCTAACCCATCAGAGCCTCCATCATTAAGGGCGCAACACTTCGTCGACTGAGGCTGGAGACGGCAAAGCTTTATCAGGCAACACCAGGCCACCAGCGGCTGGGCGAAATCAACCGGGGGCGAGGTCGCTAGGACTCGGGCAACACCGACGAAGCTTCCTCAGACGGCGACTGACAGACATGGGAGTTCCGTGTCCATAGGGGTGCACCGGTCCACGATTTGTCACTCCTGGAGCACCCAGGAGCCATTAACGGCGGATGTTTAAGGCCAGTCCCCCGTCATGGTTCAGATTCTTACCGTCGAGCTGCGAAGGCGACCAGGTACAACGCTAGCAGTGGTATGACAAAGACAGCTAAGCGACCTGCAGCGGACGGCGCAAGGCAGTTTCGGCTCAGACCTAAGAACGGGTGGGGCGCTGGCGAGTGGCGGAAACCGGGACGGCGAGGACATCCCCGGTTTAGCACTGGAAAACCCCAGTTCTATGATTCCATCTCCGGCGGCCGAGACATGGCTAACATCATAGGCGTTTCTTGAAATCCCAATTTTGCTGATTTTTTTTCTTTTGGCAGACAACTTTCGGGGCTTCCTTTGTGGACGCCAGTCACTAGCTTAGATCCAGACCGCCAGTGCATTACCTGACTACATTTTTTCATTCTATTTCCAGATTTTGGATTACAAACCTGGAAAAACTGCTGGAAACCTTTGATTTTGCTCATTCCCCCCCCCCCCCCCCCCCCCCTGAAATTTCTTGTTTCATTCCTACCAAAGGGATAAGAGAGACGATAGAAGCTCTCAAAGAAAGCACCAATGTTCGATCCAAAATAGAACGCTCGTAGGCTTTTAGTAAAGTTACGTAAGAACACTCAAGTAGAAATTTAGGAAAGTATGAATATGGAAAGTTGTAAAGGTAATTTGGTATCCAGAAATAGCATGTAGAATTCGCTTCCTCTAATCTGAATTACAACACGCCTTTTATAGGCGTATACATATCGTAACCGCTATCGATAATAATGACTAATTAATTACAACATTAATACAAAATTAAATACATAATTAATAGTGAATTAATTGTTTGATCTTTACTCTTTCGGGCTGGGAGGTTGGTCGAACTGGCAGGCTTCCCGCTGGGCTGGCAGGCAGGCTCCAGGTTGTGGACATGGATCCACATGTCCAAGTTCGGCACTTGGGCTTATTAGGCCCTGGGCCTAGTCCTATTACTCCATCAGTTGAGATTTGTGTAGAGGAGATATAAATGTGTATAACCACAAATTAGTTGCTTTATAATGAAAGTATTAGATTAGTAGTCCATATTTGGCAGCCATCAGCAACTCCGTGGCAGCCACCGTCACCGACACCACCGCCGCCGCTAGTCACTATCTTAGTGACTCCGATCAAAATGACTCCGCCCACAGTGACTCCGCCGCCAAAGTGACTCCGATGACAATGACTATGTTACAATGACTTCGTCACTGTCAAGCCCAACGTCACCAGTGACTCCGACGTAACCAGTCCCGCCCCAACCTAATCCCTATCTCCACAGCACCCTCCCCAGCCCCACAACACCTTCCCTAGCCCCACAGCACCCTCCCCACCCCCACAGCACCCTCCTCAACCCCACAACATGTAACACCGTCCCCAAGTATATTTACTTTTTAGTAAATCATGTAATAAACCTTGAATAATGATTTATGAATTTACGAGTTTGTAAAATTTTGTTATTACTTCTGCGTGAATAGTGAATTGCACGTGGGGCCCATACCAGGAACGGTGACCACCCTATAATTGAGGGACCACATATTATATTCATCTTGGTTTAGATATTGTGTATATGGTGGTAGATATTTTAGTTGGGCCATAGAAAGGGCATAGGGTTGACCTGTCGGTCAAACGAGGCCCAATATATTACCGTTATCGGTAATTTATCGGATAACAATCCGAAACAAATTTCAGAGACCTCCAAATTAAAGTTGGGGAATGCACATCCATTATAAATGCCTACAATGAGTAGGAACGTGTGTTATATTTTATTTACAAAATCAAACAGATTTATACAACAATTGTTTCCTAATATATCTCCTAGAATATCTCAAGGTCAATAACTAACCTACGTATAAATAGAAGATACAATTGTGATATACAAAATCACAAGATTTATTTACAAATATATTAGCCCAATAATTAATCTAGTGCATTATATCACTTTCAATTTTCATTTAAATTATTCCATTACAATAT